GTGAATTTCATAAATGAAATACATTTTTCACTAAAAGGTTGGGTTGTTCTTTGTCTCCGATATATTCAACCAGATAACCTCTTCTTTTCCCATTTGCAACGTTTCTGTTTCGGAATATGGACAAACCTTTCTGTCCCAAGTATTTTCAAATGATCCACAACAGCTCGTTTTCCTATCCAAATCATTATAGGTGTCATACCTATACAGTGTTTACAGCTTCCACTCAAAAGTATTCAGGAAAATTTTTTGCATGTTCGGTTTGTTCGTTTTACAGCCACTTATGTTCAGGCTTGTAAGGCATGGTGACCTGATAATGTAAATCATAGGTACTTCATAGGTATCGTCTCTATGTCCTTCTTATTAAATTCTTCACCACCATCATCACCTTCCTGTATTGTATTCAAGTTATTTTAGCTGTTGACAGAAATGCTTCATTCACCTCAGACTCCTTTTGGAGGAAGTTTTTCCTGAAAACGACGAAAACTCTTGCACTAACAACATTTACATTTCCTTTTCCGAGAGCCTACATACTCTGACCATTACCAGCTATAACTGGCTGAAACTAACTAGTAGTGTAAAACCAATTTCGATGCATGGTCATATGATGAATGACATCTGAATCTGCAATCCAATTATAGTTTGGATATAGATCCAACTATAAAAATAAAATAAAAACAACAATAAAAACTAATTGGTGCTCCGGGGCGACTTCATTGATTCCAGTGGCGCATTTGCTTTTACAGCTGCAGGAAAACCCGGAAAAACCTGCAGCACCACATCATCTGAAGATCTTGATCTAACAATGTCCTCTCTCTNATCTCATCAAAATTATGTGAAGGAGGAATAGTTCCAAGTACTGAAGCAGCATTGCCACGTTGAATAGCAATACTAATTCTTTCTATCAGAAAAGAGGTAGAACGGTGATCTTTCGTTGCTTGGCCTATTCTCCTTCCGAGTTCATGAACGAATAACAGAGACTCCGGGCCATAAACACCAAAAGTTTCAACCGCTATTGGATGAAACAGATAGTTGTTTCCAAGATTTTGGTATTTTTTCCTTTTCAATTTCTCGCCAGACAACGCTGCAGTTCCAGCAGACTTGGAACTTTCGGCTAGATGGGAAGTCGCGACCGTGTCGACGCAAGTAAAGTCCCATACCACAGGTTTACCGTATTTCCATGGTATGAGAGACATACCATCTAGTCGTTTACCATCATCGGGACTGGTACCTAAGGGTTCCAGAATTGTAGGAACATCCGCTGATAACATAGCTCGTTTCAATATGTCGTTCACTTGGTGATGTCGAGATGTAGGTACGCCCTGCACTTCTCCTGCAACTCAAACCATGTGTACCTTTATCATCAACTATACTACCAACTGAAAAGTATATAAAATGAATGCTGAACCTTGTACTGAAGTAACATTCGATACAGTTTTTTTTAAATGTCTCTTATGACCACATAACATTTCGAGGTAAACCTTTTTTTGCGTTATCTTTCTTGTGTAGGGTTCATGTTTTTGCTGTGGGTCGATCTCGAACACTGGAATTATCGTTAGTTTCTTCATTAGTGTATAATCTTTCATGAAGTAACTGAAAAGTCGTTACTCCTTAGGGACAGACTCCCATGCATTTAGGAAGTTCTATCCAAAAATGTTCAAGTTTTGCCATGTGTTCAGCTATGTTTTCTAGGAAATCAGTTTCTCTGATTCGAAGAATTTAGTAAATAGCCTGTCTTCGTTCAAAGTCACTTGAAAGCTCATTCCTCATCTTCTTGGAACTGTTACACATGTTTATCAACTGCTTAACTTGTGGACTCAGACTTGATATAATGATAATCTAGGCAGTGTATTCTATTCTATTTGCAGACTGCATCAAACATTTGGATGTGTTTTTCACTTCCTCATCTCCTGTCTCTGCTGGTTTGACAAGAGTTTCCACTGGGTCCATGTCATGTTGTAGATCAAGCTTGAAACTGTGGATCGTAGTGAAAGAGCAAAGTTGAAGTAGAACTTCAATGAATTCGAGAACATAGATTTAAACGTGACAATTAAATTGATTAATTGATCGACTACTTAACATTTTAAAAACAACGTAGATCAACAGGCGACCTTCTATCGTATTTCACCCATATTTGGAATAACGCAATCGAGAAACATGGAGAATCAAGAGCTGTTGCGCTTGATATTTCTAAGGCCTTTGACCGTGTGAGGCATGAGGGTTTGCTGGCCAAACTTCAATGCTATAGCTTGTCTAATCATTTTTGTGTATGGCTCTTCAGCTTCCTGTGTGAAAAATCACACAAAGATAAAGCAAGATATGAAGAAACATGAGAAGGTCAGTACTGAAAGTCACTAACGATAGGTGGACCTGGCTAAGAGAAAAATAAATAATTGAAAAAAGGTGTCCATTCGAAAATCCAATAACACACCCCTCTCTTCAACTTTTGAACAGAAAAAGATATCGAAGTTGGACAGAATTTACGTAAAAAGGTATGATTTTTTAGTACTTTTTTATGAGAAAGACAAAAGTGTTGCCCCAAGAGGGGGCTAATAATTTTTTTTCCAAATAGAAAGGAGGGTTGGAAATCAAATAAACCATTTCTGAGTAATTTATAGTTTCATTTTCGTTGAAAGGATATGTGAACAAACTATGAATATTGTAACAAACTAAAGAATTAACTGTTAATACTCAAGTAAACTTAAACAGAGATTTCCTTTCCTTCATAAAAGGATTATGAATTATCAATTAATAAAATTTATTACTAATATATTGTATTCTATATTGGCTTCTCCACAACATAATTATTTTAAATCCATAATGGATCACTCCTCAAGTTGATACCATTATTTTAACATGACACTTGACACATCCTGTCTCAAGTTGTCCTTTTTCATATAATACTTTGACTGAACCACATGGTCTCAATCCAAAAATGTATTTTCTTGGCTATAAGCCTATTTTGTTTCATATAAGTCAAATATTACAAATGTGTCATGGACTTATTTTGACACTTCCTGTTGCCTGACAAGTAAGTAATCTCAAACAATTTTTCCAAATTTCTTAACCTTAAAAATTTTTAAAAAATTTTGCAACTTCAATTTTCACTAAGCTTCCTTTTCAATTAGATCAATTATTTTCAGGTGAGCACTGATGATGACGAAAGTTGAAAGTGCTTTGCAAGAATTTTAAAAATTATACACTTTAATACAAAAAACCTTTTCGATTCAGCTTTTCTAAATCTATTTTTTATGAAATAGTGGATAACAAAGGGTGAACCAGCTCCAAAAAAAAGCAAAAACTGTTTTTTCGGCTGAGAAAGTTATGGCGACTGTTTTTTGGGATAGTCATGGGGTTATTTCAATCGATTATTTTCGAAAAGGAAAATCCATTGCAGGAGCATACTACGCATCATTACTTGACAAGCCGAAGGCAGAACTTGTGTAAAAATAGCCACATTTGCAGCGAAGGAAATCCTATTTCACCAAGACAATGCACCGTCTCCCACCTCAGCGGTTGCCATAGCGAAAACCCACGAATTACAGTTTGAACTGCTTGATCCTCCGCCCTACTCAGCAGATCTAGCTCCAAGCGACTTCTTTTTGTTTCCTTATCTAAAAATTGCGCTCGGAGGACAGAGATTTTCGTCAAATGAAGAGGTAATCACCTTTGTGAACAATTATTTCGCAGAAAAAACCGCCGAGTACTCTTCGGACGGGTTACAGAGATGGAAGCATCGCTGGGAGATTCGTGTGTATAGTTAAAAGAGGACTTGAACAAATACAATAAAATCTGAAAAAATATCTTGTATCTTTGTTAGGTCTAAAACTTTGAGACAAACAAGTGTTACAAGCTTGGCAAGCGTATATAGTCTCAATCTTTCTGTATAATATTGCATGAACGTAAGATTGATTTGCACCAGTATTACAATTGCAAAAGCAGCTCGAAGATCAATTGAGTTTAAATTAAATTAGCTTGACGGTGTTTGCGGGAGCAAGATGAAGCATGTGTACTGATAAGCAAGATTGAATAATTCAAGTAACGATATAGAGGAAAGCATTTCGTTAGCTTCAAAGTGGTACTTTTTCTAGCACACATTACTGTTTGGTGGCCGAACCAATTTATGCATGATTGTACAAAAGGATCATTTTCGTTTGTCAAGCCTGCTGGTACGTGTGTGGTCAGTTACTTTGAAAGTTATGTCAACGAGTTGACGTCACTACCAGCAACAATCATGGTGGAGTTCAAATTCATCTTTGAATCGCTGACCACAATTACAAACTAGGCAAAGTGAAAAAACCTGTCATTTGAAAATGACGGAAGCAATGAGAACCACACCAATAATCTAGAATCATCAAAGACAATCTTCAATCTACTCTCTTTTTATCTTGTTGAAACTGTGTCAAATTCTTGAAAGTTTATCAGAGAGTTCCTCGAAAGTTGTTGACTGAATAAAGTTAAAATTTCGGAATATGTGGAGGAACTACCAATAAACACGTTCTCCTCCACATGACACCGAAGTACACATTCGACACAAACTTCACGGTTGATGTCACAAACCGTGGAATGGATTTCAATCAGTCATCTCGGCGGATGCTGGATTATAATGAGCAGATATAAATCATCATTATAGCCATTCACTGAGTCAATACGCATTCGTTTTTCAGGTGGAGTTATATATGATAACAGTAAACAATAAATGACGTCTCAACGGAATGAGTGAAACAATACTCTTATTGGCGGGTGCGGCATTATTGAACCCAAGAGTGACATTGAGACTGGTCTGGAAAGGCCGTGAAGACATCGGCGAGCAGGTATAGATTGACTGGATAAAAGGCAAAAACTGGAACCTCTGGCGTAGAATAAATCTGTTTTCCCAAACACCCAATCACCAGAGTATTGCCTTTCCGGTGATTGGGAAAAGTGCTTCTTTATGATCTATAGTGGATACGTTGACTCTCAGAACTCACAGAAAACGAAAAATTTGATGAGAGTGGTCATGTTTGGGTTCTGTGATCATGTATGGCTTCCGAACCATCTGTGGAGGTACCAAAATTATTGTATCTAAATCAGAAAATGTGTCAATCAGAAAATGTGTCAATAAGAAAATAAATAATACCAAAAAGAAATATCCGATAACATATATGGAAAACTTCATAGAGTGTCTGCCCAGTTTAGGACCTTTATTACAAGTGCGAAGGAGAAATGCCTTCAAAGAGAAATAATGTGACAGTATTTGCCTTGAATATTAAATCTCAAAGTATCAACTAACTCATAGGATGAAATTCTACATCAATCTATCTAACTTCTGTGGGAAAAAATGTCTTGATAGCTTTGAGGAACAAGCTGATCTGAATTATATTAGGTATTATTGACTAGGGAAAGGTTATCAAAGCCCAAATATTCATATACTATTATTTCAAGGTGAATATTTACCTATACCTCACTATGTATGAAATTTCATGGTCAAGGAATAAAAAGGTTGTAGTAAAGTTCTGATACACCTTATTATTCATTTATTTGCACACCAATAGGTAACAGGGATTCATTTGAACATTTTTTTCACCTATAAGATACCTTCTGATATACCATGAAGGTATTATTACAAAGGTATTTGTCCACAAATCAGTCTGAATTACTAATGAGGATTTGATGACTTTTTCAAAGAGTCGACCAGAAAGTAACCTAATTCTATTGTGAATAACAGGCAACCTAAAATGTTGTCGATTTATTTCTAGTGTTGCATTTGATAATAAAATGTCAAGAAGAGGTAAAAGGTGTTGCATTTCTGGTGTTTGGATAAGCGCTTATTTCGAATTTATTTTACGCCAGAGGTTCCAGTTTTACCTTTCATTCCACTATTGAATGTTGATGTCGGAGGTAATTGCTCCTAATACCCATCTCATAAATCCGCCCTTGGTTACTACCACTAACAAACTGATCAGGATGCAATGACTTGTTTGTTGATAACGAGAGCGTGGACACTATACCAAAAGCAACATTTCAAGACACTCTTGAATCTTTTTACCTCGTAATAATGAGGGAGACAAGAGTAGCATTCAGAAGATACCCGAACGAAATAGGGCTGTATAACGAAACCTTAGCTGCAGGTAAATCAACAAAGGGAAAGAAACAGCTTATCATGTTTTATAGGAATGAGGAACTGGAATACACAAGGCAAACAAGTTATGGACGACAAATTATACCCACAAGGATATGATAGACTTTCAACAAAAAACCAGTACATATTGGTATATAGAACAAGATTGTTGAAAATAAAAATGATAGGAAGAGCGCATGAGGGTACAAAGTTTCCCGGATACTTTAAAGAAATAAACAAGTCCGGTGGTTATTGAGTGACAAAAACATCCTCTTGAAGAGTAGTATAAAAATATTATTCCATTTACTGTCTGTCAGAGAGGTTGTGAATACTTTTTCATTGAAGTACACCGTGTACCAGGGTGGTCCCAGAAGTACCCGGCCTGTCCTAGAGATGGCGGTAGTTGCTTGAAAAATATCACTGTATTAGAAAGTACACAATTTATAAGGCATATGTTTCAAGTTTGAAGACGCTGCCTTTTTTAGTATTTATTTGTAACAGTAAAATATTGGATAGCAGAATTTAAACGGGGCCGTACATACCAAGTCATGAGGGAATGTCCACAGGGATATTCCCCTTTCTATGGAACATAGTTCTGGATACCCTGATTAATCACCTCAACAATAATGGATTCTACACAATTGCATATGCAGATGACATAGTTATCTTGCAGACCGGCAAATTTGTGAACATACTGTGCGATAGAGCGCAGGATGGGCATAAATTAATAGAAACATGGTGTGAGGAACACTCACTGTCGATCAATCCCAAGAAGACTGAGATGGTCCTTTCAACCTGGAAAAGAAGTTTATTGGGCTTGAAACCTCCACATATCTTCAAAAGCAAACTAAACTTCTCTGAAGAGATGAAATACCTTGGTACTATCCTCGACAGGAAGCTGACATGGAACTCTCACCTACAAAGTAGAGCAAAAAGAGCATATGTGGCTTATGAGCAATGTCGGAGGCAGTGACACGCGCATGAGGACTTTCACCCCGTGTGGTCACCTTTAATAACAAGATCTATGTTAACGTATGGAGCAATTGCATGGGGACCGAAAGTTCTACAAGCAACGGTCATCCAAAAATTATATCAAATTCAGCGCCTGGCTTGTTTAAACATTACAGGAGCCATGAGAACAACACCAACCGCGGCAATGGAATTAATTACTGGGTGGGCCACATCTTGACCTGTACGTTAAGGAGGGTGCGTTAATGACCATGTTACGATTGCGCACGGCTGGTGTAAACCTCGAAGTAGAAATGGGTCAATTGAAGCTGAGCCTATAGCGAGAAGCGCTTACTGCGCAACTTCTGCTGCAGACAACCAGTAATGCAATTGAACCCAGGTTTAATAAACCCTACAAAATACAAAGAAAATAGAACACAGAGTCAGATGTTACAAATGCAATACGCATATATATAGACGGCTCAAAAACCAAAGAAGGCTCAGGATGTGGAGTGTTCTCCAGATCACTAAGCCTAAAGATTTAGTGGGGAATGGAAAAAAATCACCAGAGTGGTCCAAACAGAACTGGCTGGTATCTCAAATGCCATAAAAGAAATAACCAGGAAAAGAATTTCTGGTAAAAACATAACAATCTGCACTGAGAGCAGATAAGCCCTATTAGTCTTGAACAGACAACGTGTTACCTTAGGGCTAGTACTAGAGTGCCACCAAGATTTAGCCAATGCCTCGGTAGGTGATAACATTATCCTGAGGTGGGTTAAAGGGCACGACAGGGGTGAAGGTAATTGCATTGCCGACTTTTTAGCCAAGGAAGCAGCTGGACTAAGAATTTTAGAACCCAGTGGCACCTACGGACTGATGACTTCGACACTTGCGGAATTAGCTGAATATTACACCCATGCTCAATTCCTAAAGAGAAGAGATGGAATCAAAGGATGCAATCTAGTCAGGATCACCCTGGGCGAACCTGGGAGGCTGGCGCCGAAGAAATATCTGGCGATGACCAGGAAAAATATACGCTTAACAGTAGGATTTCTAACTCGCCACTGTCAACTAAGGAAACACCTTCATAATATGGGGCTAGTGGACATACCTCCATGCAGGATGTGTGAACATGAAGATAAGACTGTCAGGCATGTCCTATGCGAGTGCCCGGAATTATCGTCAATAAGAGAGTGTGTGTTCGGCGAATCTTGGCCTACACCTGCCAATATAAAGGAGATGTCTCCAAGTGACATGTCCACCTTCCTGGAAAGAACAGGAAGGACGATGACCTAGCAGGACAACTCCTCGAGAGGATGTACAATGGGTCACATGTGGCCTAAGTGTTGTGGGCTTATACTCACCCTCTCTACTCTACAGATACAGAAGCTGTCAAGATGAGCATCGCAGTGGTCGACCAAATAAGGTGACGACCGGTGAAGAAAATCCACAAAGCGGTGTGCGAGCTAGCAGACTCACTAGACATTTCAAAAAGTACGGCACATCGTATATTATCTGAAAATTTGCACCTGAGAAATCTGTGTGCAAGATGGGTGTCGCGTTTGCTCACACTCGAGCAAAAACAGTGTCGTAAAGATGTTTCAATTGAGTGTTTAGCAAAGTTGCACAGCAACAAAGCAGAATCCTTGCGTTGTTTCATAACCATGAATGGAGCATGGGTCCATCTTTTTACTCCCGAAATAAAAGAACAATCAAAACAGTGAACTCGAAAGAGAGAACCGGCTCCATAGAAGGTGAAAACCGTTCAATATGCAGGCAAGGTCATGGCATCGATTTTTTGGGATGCGCGTGTGATAATTTTCATTGACTATCTTAAAAAAGGTTAAACTATCAACGGCGAGTATTATGCGAACTTATTGCAACATTTGAGTGGAGAAATCAAGCAAAAACTGACACAGTTGACTAAGAAGAAAGTTTTCTTTTGCCAAGATAATGCACCAGCTCACAAGTCCACTATCGCAATGACCGAAATAAAGTTTGAATTGTTACTTTATGCACCTTATTCACCAGATTTAGCCACCTCGGATTATTTTTTATTCCTAAACTTTAAAAAATGGCTCAGTTGTCAAAGATTTCCCAAAGATGAAGAAGTAATGTCGGTAGTTGATGACTATTTTGAGGAGCAAGACAGTTATACCTATAAAAACGGTATCGAACTCGTTGAACGTCGCTGGAAAAAGTGTATAGAGCTGCAAGGAGAATACGTTGGAGAATAAATACATTTTTTCCAAAATTTTTGTGTTTTCTCCATTGGGCTGGCTATTTCTGGGACCAGTCTCGTAACATCGTATCTAAACAATCCAAGTGTTCAACACGATAAACACTATGAATACGAGGATCACAACGTCCGCTAATCTAAATGCGCCAATGAGCTGAAACAAGAGAAAACTCGGTATAAGTTCGCCAAACTCAGCCACCTCCCTGATTATCCAACACCCTCCACGCCTCCCACCCCCAAAGGGAATCACCCACATTCACACACACCAACGTGATCTCAACAATCCTTCAACAATCCTTCAACAATCCCAACTTACCGGAACTTTTCCTCTCGACGATGGTGGCGTGACCTTTAACTCCGTTCGAAGTGGATCTTCCCGAAGCGTCATTGACGTCGGCAGCATCGCGACGCTGACGTCGCCGATGGGCGTTGCGAAAACTTTCTTCCGGTATTATTAATGTTCCGGCGCTGCTCGTTCTCGTCGTGTACTTTTTCTCTCTCATATCGTTCACCTGGAGGTGTACAAAAATCGGCAATAGATTATATTTAATGGACGAGAGGGGAGAGGGATAAAAGCGATAAAAGCAAGGGAAGGGGGACGTTTTTTATTGTTCAATTTGCATAAAATATCTCAAAAAAAAAAACAGTGCTAGTTAAAAATCTAAGGGTAGTTTCAATACATGGTTTTTCTGGTGCTTTAAAACTACTGTATGAAACCTGATCTTATTTAGTGCTGCGAGTTCCTAACTTAGAACAACTTTGGCTTCCGTGTCGTTTAGGTGACATAAAATGAAGAGATTTCACTCACTGTTGAAATAACCAATCATTACACAGGCTTCATCAATAAAAGTAAGATTGTTTGAATAAAAACTTGTAATCCGTACATCATCGAAACATACAAACAGACAAACAAACCACACAAATAATTATTGTTTTCCTAACAGATAAACTTTGGGCACTTCACATTTCATATGGTGAAGTGAAGTTCATGTCGTAATTATAACTTTTTACCCCAATTGGCTCCCTCTAATGATCCGCATTCAAATTGCCAGATATAATAGTTGGAGTAATATTAAACGTAATTCATTTACAGAATAATCAATGAAGTGCTGATGAATTTCATGAAATTGAACCAAAATCAAAACATGGGATTACTTTCCAGTGAATTTCATAAATGAAATACATTTTTCACTAAAAGGTTGGGTTGTTCTTTGTCTCCGATATATTCAACCAGATAACCTCTTCTTTTCCCATTTACAACGTTTCTGTTTCGGAACATGGACAAACCTTTCTGTCCAAAGGATTGTCAAATGATCCACAACAGCTTGTTTTCCTGTCCAAATCATTATAGGTGTCATACCTTCTGTTAATATAGGATCAGTTTTGTTCAAAACGTACGCAACAGTGTTTACAGCTTCCACTCAAAAGTATTCGGTTTGTTCGTTCTGCAGCCACTTATGTTCAGGCGTGTAAAACATGGTGACCTGATAATATAAATCATACTTCATAGGTATCGTCTCTATGTCCTTCTTATTGAATTCTTCACCACCATCATCACCTTCCTGTATTGAATGTTAAGTTATTTTAGCTGTTGACAGAAATGCTTTCAGTTTTTCATTCATCTCAGACTCCTTTTGGAGGAATTGTTTCCTGAAAACGACGAAAAATCTTGCACTAACATTTACATTTCCTTTTTTACCAGCAATAACTGGCTGAAACTAACTGAAAGTGTAAAACCAATTTTGGTGAATGGATGAATGACACATAAATCTGCAATCCAATTATAGTTTGGATATAGATCCAACTGAAAAGAATATAATGCTGAATGCTGAACCTTCTACTGAAGTAACATTTGATACATTTTTTTTAAATGTCTCCTATGACCACATTGATAAAATTTCGAGGTAAGCCTTTTTTGCGTTATCTTTCTTGTGTAGGGTTCATGTTTTTGCTGTGGGTCGATCTCGAACACTGAAATTATCGTTAGTTTCTTCAACAGTCTATAATCTTTCATGAAGTAACTGAAAATTCGTTACTCCTTAGGGACAGACTCCCATGCAATTAGGAAGTTCTATCCAAAAATGTTCAAGTTTTGCCATGTGTTCAGCTATGTTTTCTAGGAAATCAGTTTCTCTGATTCGAAGAATTTAGTAAATAGTCTGTTGTCGTTCAAAGTCACTTGAAAGCTCATTCCTCATATTCTTGGAACTGTTACACATGTTTATCAACTGCTTAACTTGTGGACTCAGACTTGATATAATGATAATCTAGGCAGTGTATTCTATTCTGTTTGCAGACTGCATCAAACAATTGGATGTGTTTTTCACTTCCTCATCTCCTGTCTCTGCTGGTTTGACTATGGACCCACTGGGTCCATGTCATGTTGTAGATCAAGCTTGAAACTGTGGATCGTAGTGAAAGAGCAAAGTTGAAGTAGAACTTCAATGAATTCGAGAACATAGATTTAAACGTGACAATTAAACTGAATAATTGATCGACTACTTAACAATTTAAAAACAACATAGATCAACAGGCGACCTTCTATCGTATTTCACCCATATTTGGAATAACGCAATCGAGAAACATGGAGAATCAAGAGATGTTGCGCTTGATATTTCTAAGGCCTTTGACCGTGTGAGGCATGAGGGTTTGCTGGCCAAACTTCAATGCTATAGCTTGTCTAATCATTTTTATGTATGGCTCTTCAGCTTCCTGTGTGAAAAATCACACAAAGATAAAGCAAGATATGAAGAAACATGAGAAGGTCAGTACTGAAAGTCACTAACGACAAAAAAGTTCGAATTCACGGAGGGAGTAAAAGCATCCTTCGGCCAGTACTTTCTTTAATTTGCGTTTGAAGATATCTGGGCTTCTGCTCTCTCTCTCAATTCGAAGGGCAGAAGGTTGAATAGACGAATTCCAGTAGTCACTGGAGCTTTTTTTTTGCATGGAGTGACAAATTTTCTTCGGTAGGATACTTCTTTTGTTTCTGGTGTCATACATGTGAATATCGCAATGCCTTCTAAAGCTGCTTAGGTTCTTGAAAATGTGAGTCAAAAGTTTTAATAAATAAATACAGGGCACCGTGAGAATTTTATTACTTTCTAAGGTGTCTCTGCATGATGTTCTATAAGATAAGCAGAAAATACGTCCAATAATACGTTTCTGCAACACAAACACTCTTTGTAGTTCGGACGCTTGACCCCAGACAACGATACTATATGAAATAGCGGAGTATCCCAGATCATAGTAAACTTCAAGCAGACAATCTCGTTCCGGCATGTTTTGGAGTGTGGTGACCATATAAAAACATTTGTTCAGCTTGCCACAAACTACATCGACATGCGAGTTTCATGATAGGTTGCAGTCGAATTGTGTTCCTAAGAACTTCGCCATTATAAATGGCTCAATTGACACTCCTTCAAATGAGAGCGGTAAATGCAGAGGTGTTCTATGTTCGCTACAAAACTCTATATATTCTGTCTTATTATGATTAATCATAAGTTTATTTTTAAATCACCAGTCCTTGAACTCTTTTAGGATTGTGTTGACCCTCTCAGATAGTCTTACAGATGAAGTATCTAACACAGTAATGTAAGTATCATCTGCATACATAAGCACCCTTCCTTGAGATATGTGAATGGGAAGGTCGTTAATGAAAATAAGGAAAATTAAAAGACCGAGTACGCTTCCCTGGGGTGTACCAATATCTGTTTCAAATTCCTCCGAGATGACGTCATCCATCTTAACAATGAACTTTCTTCGTTCGAGGAAGGACGCGATCCACTCATTGATTGGGCCGCGGACACCATGGTTATTCAATTTATCAGATATGAAAGAAATATCGACCGAGTCGAAAGCTTTAGTAAGATCAAAGGAACTTGAGATCACAAATTCGCCAGAGTTCATTTTGTTGTTTGTTTTGTTGTTGAACAAATTCAATCGTGCTTATTTCAGTTGATAAACCACTACGGAATCTATGCTGGTTGTCACATACTACCTGATATGTGTTGAGAAAATGTGATTCTATTGGCCATTACTTTCTGTATCAGTTTAGAAAAAATTCTTAGTAAAGCGATTAGTCTATAATTCTCAATATTACTTGGATCGCCTGATAAAAATAAGAATTATAGAGGCTAATTTGAGGCTAGAGGAAAATTTGCCTTGCAATACGGACAGATTGATAATATGCTCGAAAACTGGTGCAATTATATCACTGGTGTCTTTAATTACTGAAATCGGAATTTCGTCCGGACCTGTGGATTTTTTATTCGGTAATGAGTTTATGACCTCAAGTATTTCGTCCTTTGTGACGGATTCAAAGAACATTGATACAGGATTGAATTCACCTGTGGTACATTGTGTGGAAAACTGTTGACCAAAATGTTCATTCAATTTATCAGTTATCACTGTTGATAAATATCGTCCAAACACAGTGGTCATGTTTTCTGGATCGGTTAGGACCTCGTTATTAAAATTAATTTCAGATATTTTGTTAGATTTATGTTTACCTTTAACTTTGTTTACAATGTGCCAAAGTGTTTTCGTTTTGGTTTCCGATTCACTAATGATTGTTTTATAATGCGATTTTTTTTCGAGAGAAATTTTCTTATCAATATTACTCTTTAGTAATTTATACTTTTCTTTTACCATTATATCATCTGTCCTCTTGCGTAACCAATCCAAATCCTTTAACCTTTCTCTCGTTTGATTTAGTTCATGTGAAAATTTGATTTTTTCACTTTTCATAGAAATTTTTTTTGTAGTTTTCTTAGGAAACAAGAAATTGAAACACCAAAGAAAATCATTCATGTAGTTGTCAAATATGATATCAACATCGTAGACGTGACTGGTATCGAAATTAATGTTAGCAATTTAATATATGAACTCGTTTCTGCAGTTCTGATCAATTTTTCAGTAAGAATATTTTTCTACATTCGTTATTGAATTGAGAACCGAGGACAAGCGACAGGTAGCGATTTGTCCGTGATGATCAGATAGACCCTGGTCAAGATTGGTGGTTTCAATTAATTCAGGTGTATTCGACATAACATAATCAATAGCAGAGGAACTCATGTAATTCACTGTTGAAAATTTTCTGGTATTTTCATTCATCAGAGACGTCATCTCATAAGAACTGAAGAGATCCATTTGGATTCCAAGACATCCGCTACGGAGGCACATCTTCACCGGCAGGAGGCTGCATATCTGAATAATGATATAGAAGTTATTTCGAATTGGGGTGAAAGGAACCAGATTCAATTCAATGCCACAAAAAACCAGGCATTGATTTTCTCCAAGAAGATAAATGTCTACGAACCGGAAATAATAATGTCAAATCAGACAATTTGGCTTTCTGCTTCGATAAGTTTGTTGAGGCACAATCATGTTTCTGCAATTGCAAAGGCTGCTTCTCAAAAACTTGGAACGCTATTCCGAACCAGAAAACTGTACACACCTCTACAACTTCTGATGCTTTATAAAGCTCAGATCAGACCTTTTTTGAAGTATTGTTCTCATGTATAGAGCTCTGCCCCCAAACATACCCTGAAGTTGCTGGATTCCATCTAGGAAATATCCATCCGCCTGATTGGAGATGCGAACATCACGTATAACCTTGATAGCCTGGAACATCGAAGGAGGGTTGGAGATTTGTCTCTCTTCTATAGATAAGAGCAGTACATATCAGGAATACGCGACGGACTGTGGCTGCTCATCTGGAGTACTGCGTTTATGTGGAATAAACTTCCTGAGAACGTTTTTCCAAATGGATTTAATTTTCAGCGATTCAAATTCAATGTGAATCGCTACTTTCGCACAGGCACCGCTCTGAGAACGCCTTAAGGATTTTCCTGTAGTGCTTTTGTAATTAAAAAAATACTTTATCGTGGAGTGATTTTTTTTCAGCGTTGATATTTCTAAGATCTTCGAGCTATAACAATGTCAATCTTTCATTTCCTAAAATGAATTTTACCTTGGGAAAAAACAAATGCTCACCTCAATATTTCGATCATTGCGTAACAAAGAAATGGTGTCAGCAGTGTGCATAACCCTCCGACCCATTTTGTTTTTATTGAACCGTTCCTGTACTTCGTCTTCTGGAATGGTAGAAGTAATAAAATTGCTTGGGGCATCCTTTTCAGAAAGTTTTATATCCTGCTCGTCGTTGTACCTACAGAAACAGTTTGATAATGAAAAGTTGCCAATTGTTATTTATACTTTAAATAATCTGTGTGTTTTAGCAATGATTCCATTTATTGTCAAGTTCACCCAAAACTATTTATCGAAACAAAATTCCATGTAACCATTTGTTTTCGAAAAACATTATCTTTGAAAAGGCTTGTTCGTTTTTGTAAAATGTTGGGAAAGCAGGAAAACAGCACGTATAAAAAAACTGTCTGGGATTTTCAAAATGAGCTATGAAGGTATATTCATCTTTTGATTCTCTATATTCTGGCGTTGTTATCTAATTCTTACAAAAAAATATAGGTTAGATTATCTAACTGGGACAGTTATGTTTATATAAACTCACGATATTTACTAATTGCGTATAATTATACAACTGCTTTGTGTCAGATCGCTTGTTTTTTTTAATATAGATATTAGGTTGTTTTAAAAGTGTTTGTAGCTCCATATCTCAATAAACATTTATTCTACTGTGTCATGGTATATACTGATCCATATATTAGAGAGATTTATATATCATTATCAGATTTGTACATGACAGAATATCTCTCAGATTATATTGTAATAGATCATGCCCGAAAGAAAATAACGCCGACCGCCACTGGTAGCCATAAACCAATGGTGACGTAGTTAAGAGCGCGCGAATGTACGATGATTCCCCGCCACTCTAGAAGCAGCGAGAATAATGCTACCGATTTCGACGGAACTTCGGCGAAATTTCTACGGCATTCGATTACGATATAAAAACGCTAACCACGAGCGTATTGACACAGTCAAGTGGACGTTACAGTGCGGTACGCGAAGTGATCTAGTAAGGCAATAGACATTCATATAATAGTTATCGTTGAAGTGAAATAAAGTTGAGTTTGATTACTCAGTGTAGTCAATTATTGGTCAACCCACGGGGAAAAACGTAACAATATACAGTACGGACGTAAATAATCCCCTCCTTCTCATATCAAATTCAACTCAAAAAGCCAATTATGTGACATCACTTGCCGCCGAGAAGACGTTATGATTTTTTTTTCAAGTGAAAAGGGGTCTTGTGACATTTCGTATGGAAGTTATTTCAATTTTCTTCTTTCTTTCTGGTAAATGCCTACCGCAAAATAACTACTTCCCTGGCTAACACCACGCTGAATATAGAATTATATACAACAGACATTCATGCAAGAGTTAGTCACAGAGATTAGTCTCACAAAGGTTAATCTCGCAGATATTTCTCTGAAGGTAGAAGGTTTTGCAACATTNTGATTCAAACAGTACCCATGTACCAGTACTCTAACAGAGAAACCGAGTGTGAAGACAACAAATCTGTAATGCAAGTAGACTGCGGAATATTGCGATTCAATCCACAGCAGATGAAGAAGATATCGCAAGAGTGGAGCGTGTTTAGAGTTGATAGGTCTAATGTTTTGAAGTAGATCTCTTGTTTTGGTTCTAGAGGTACTGTTCTACTATTTCTTGACACAACATTTATTAATTCCTAGGCGGTACAAAATTCAAACCAATTTCGTAATAGGCCCTGAAGTGCGGATAAAAAATTAATTCGAAACAACAATAAATCAAACGAGGGGAATGTAGTAAAAAAACAACAAGAGTGCTTCCATATCTTCCCCGTACGCTCACACTAACCTTAATTTCCTCTTGAAAAGATCATCGCTTCTGGACCGCCTGTGACGTCGCACTTGTGACTTTTTGGCGCTTTCGGGAAAACTTCTCAAAGGGATCCTTTCAGCCGCGTTGCTTTCTAATGACGCCGAATTGCCTGAAATGAGGACACCCGGTGATTAATTATGAACATCAAGGAAGTTTAGCACTGGTGTCAGGACAAAAGGGGTGGCGGAAAGATGCCAAAAATATTTCGTTAACTTGTTCACATTTCATAAAATAGAAATTACCCTCGCCTGTCCGTGAAAAGCTAAATGCAAAATATTATAAGTTTTCTCCTTATCGAGGTAAAGCACGCTTTGAGATTGGAAAGAAAGTTAAGGGGAACAAAAACGCACTTTGTGATTTATGAAATGTAAGTTTGGCTGGCATTCATTTTGTTTTCAAAGGAAAGTATATTTTTATATTGGATATAGATACGAAAGGTCCAATGGAAAAACTATGCGGTTCTATTTCCTACAGGTTATGAGGAAAATTGAAACTGAACCGAATTTGTGTTGACAATAATTCACATAGAAATTATTGCTCTATAAATTAGTTTAAGTATTCTTTCGATAATCTTCCATAAACATCTTCCATAAACAGTTTATGCTTGAGGAAGCTATTGTATAGCGAAATACATGTCGCGGTTTTTGCAAAACCCTTTTATAGTGAAAATCATACAATAAACTGTATTGATTAGTTTTTTAATATGGATTGTCATGAAGTATCGGCCAGTTCTATTCAATTACTTTCTGATTCTATTTAAAACAGATACCTTATGAAAAAATTAGAATATTTCAAGTCAAATAAACCTTTTTATTAAAAATTAAACGCAGTTCAATTCAATGATTACCTTTTTATCATAAACAATATGTAACGTTCGTTATTACTCAAGACAATACTCATGAATATAAAATTATAATATGCATATAATTGGAAAATAATTCCATGAAAATCAAAAATAAATAGATAAGTATTTTCATGATCATTTCCATATTGATTTCAATTTAAAAGCCACCGGTAAACAGCTGTTTCAGCCTATTGGGCTTTGTCAGTACCTGGCAGGCGGTCCTCGATTGAAGACAAAATGTGACGTAATCCATCTTGATTTCATGCAGGTTGAAGCCTGGCCCCCTTCCCCTTTCAACTGGTGTTTGTCAGAAAGACAAACGGGTCGTGGCTGGTGTTTGTTGGTGGCATGAAAGTCCTGAGACATCCATACCGCCCTCCGCTGTATACCCCTACCTGGCTGGGGTGAGATGGATGAAGATATTATTCATCCGTTAACTCGTGAAATGCGTCGGAAAGAAGATATTGTAAAAAAACTGTTATTAGGCGCCATTTTTCCAATATGGCGGCGAGAGCGGCGGAGATACGAGGTGGCAAAGTTGAAATTCGTAAAGAGCATATAAAAATCCATAAATTAACCAATTTTCAAAACTCCCGGAAAACTTTCCAGGTAAAACTAGCAAATGAGAGGACTACATCTCTTACCCTCATTTTTTGATATTAATAAAAAATACAACACATTGTGCAACTGGAATTATTTTTGAGGCTTCTCTGATGATGTATAACTCTCATATCAGACTAGGACAAAATCTGATTACAAAATTGAATAACCAGGAAAAAATTCTCTAACTTTTTCCAGAGCCTCTCTTCCTATAAAATGCATCCCTTAAACGTTATTTCGCTGTTTCTTAACATTTGAAACACCCGGTGTGTCAGTATAATTAGTATATTGAGCAAATACTCCTGGAACACTAGGTATAAAACTCGTTTCCGGGTTCCAAACACCAATTTTCCAATGGTAATGTTTTACTCTGACGCAATATTAATCAAAACCACCAACTGCATACCTACCGTTCTGAATTATACTGAAAACTATTATCAACCGAACATTAATGGCTGCACCCGAATGTGAATTCGATGATTGAATGCTTCTGCGACAGTCAACAGAAGTTTGGAACGTAACTTTGTTCTAAAGGCGTATTTCCATTAAACGGACAAAACCACAATAAAACAGCAACTATTTTGATTTGTAAAAAACAAAAACTTGAGTTGTCAAAATGAGAAACATTTTGAAAACTATGTGTCGCGGGCGACTGTTGCTTGTAGTTGGCTTTATGGCCAACTACAAGCAACTATTCAGTGCACCATTCAACTATTCAGTTTGTTTTAATGTGTGACTTCATGGGTATACATTTCGAGCCCAGTTCTTCATTAATTTATCAAACCTGCTTTAATGTTATTTGTTTTATAATCTTCTCCTCTTCCTGACAATGGTCTCACATTTCATTCTGGTTTAGATATGTGGATGATATCCTCGTGGGTTTCGACGGCTCGAAGGGACAGATGAATCAGTTCTTGAATTTCTTCAATACTCCCCACGATAAGATAATTTTATTGACGTTTTTTTCCTACTTTTCAATACGTAAACTTCGAAATTCAAGCGACCAGTAACGAAGATATGTAAATTAGAGCTAACGGAATACTCTAGCGGAGGGAAGGAGAATCTGGATATTTACTCATTATTTATCATTCTTTGTGTTTATTTTGTGATCATTTGTTTAACAGGTGATGATGAAACAATTTACAACCGTTCCTGCCGCAAGATTTTCTCATTCTGCATTTGAACTTTTGATGATTTTTCTTTTCTTTTCTTTCTGGTGACAATTACACATCTCTTTTCAAAACCATCCAATTGCATTTGAGGTCCGGTACCTTCGTGGTGCTGGGACTGATCACAGTAATTGCATATTTAGGATTTTACTTCGGTCGTGTTGAAAATCCTTTCATTTTTCTTAGAATTAGTGAATTTCGATTAATGAAATTCAGTATTCAAACGAGGGGTACTAACAAAATATGCAGAGCTGGCCTGCTGGACTGTTTCTTCCCATGAAAGCTTCATCATTTTTTGAATTTTTTCAAGTAACTCTCTTATCAGTTGAGGATTTTCTAGGTGACGTTTATTGTCCAAACTTTCCATTATAGACACCATATTGTTGACTTGAGATGAAAAGTGAATCAATTTCTCCAAACAGCCGTCTTTAATGAAGGGAATTTTTCGTATTCAATAAATTAATGTGTCAATTGTATATTCAGGTCGGCCAAATCGGTTTTCCAAGATAGAAATGACATTGTTCACGTTTTCAGCCGTTAACAACATTCCAAGAACTGCGAATTTAGCCTCTCCTTTGAGACATCTTAGCAAGTTCAACATAATTTCTTCATTGCTATAATCACAGAGTTTAAGAAGATTTTTGAACGACTTATAAACAAGGGCCAATGTTGAGGATTTCCATCAAAATGCGGGAAATCTTTCTCCATTCTGCATTTGGAATTTATGGGGTTCTCTGGCAAATTGTGCATTCGAGGATTGATTCGAAACAACTGGAACTGGTATCGAAACTGATTTGAGAACATTTGTAATTGTTTCACAAAGCATTTTAATGTCATTGCTACATGTATTTTTCTCGTCACTTTTTCCTACTCTCTCTATCATTTCAGGTGTTTGCTGTCAGTCAATAGATATATTTTTAACTCATTGGGCTACAGCACCTCTGTGTTCTTGTTCATTAACCGACTCTTCTCTCGAAGCCAAACTAAATGTTTCAGACTGAAGATGAACGATATCACAAGTACTGCCATTTTCTTTTGCTTCTAGCTCAGCTTTATGTAACTCTTCCTCCATCTGAAGCAAATGTAAACTATTTTCTATTTCTTTCTTTTTCAATTCCAGATTTTTTCGTTGTTTTTCTATCTCTATAGCTTTTCTCTTCATTTCCAAATCTATAGAACTTCTACGGGAACATTCAGTCTTTCTAGAAATTTTTGAGCATACTTCCGATTTTTGGTCAAGTCTCAAGGAAGTTGGCTCAAGGAAGTTGGCTCTTTCAGGACTATTTTCTCGAACAGACCATTTGAAGTTTCTGGAATTTGGAAACGACTTGCCTTGCCAAATTGGTCAGGCCAAACATAATCTATCGATAGCTTCGATTGAAACCGGCACCAAGCCTTTGGGATTTACGCTGCTCCATATCGTGATCGCGTCGGGGTCGCCAATGTTATTCTTTCAGAAAAATTCATCAACTCAAGCCAATTTTAGTCAAGAAGGAACTTTATTGACAGTTATTACTATTTTTCAATCTCCAACTGACAAATCTTGATTACAAAACAAATGAACTCAAAATAAACACACAGAATGATAAACAGTGGGTAAATATCTACAAAGGGAGATGAAATTGCTGGAAGCATTAAAAATAAATACATTGCATAAAAACCCGAATTTCAAAAATGTCAACGATCAATTGGAACTATGCAGTTCTCCACTTTTGAATTTTTGAATTTTGACAACTAGTGTAGGATCCATTGGTAGCTGGAAAAAGCCACAAGCAGGTTCTTGGGCAACAGTTGGACATTTGGTAATCTTGATATATTAGAGAAGATAAATAGTTATTGGTATTGATAATTCATTTGTCATTCCAGGTACCTAGTGAAGGTACCTGACTATATCATTATATAGACAAAATTTTATTTTTTATATACTATCTCATCGTCTATCTTTTTTTTTCGCTTCAGCCTCTTTCGCTTAAAAAACATCGTCTAGAGAAGGTATGCTGAAAATTGTTCGTGTAGCGGAAACGACAAAAAACATTTCACAACAAAACACGCGACTCTGATTAGTTTTTGTTTGTTTGGCGAAATTAGAGTTTGTTTTCTAAACTAAAATTAGTTTTTTGAATTTTTTTGAAAACTAAACTAGTCGCAAGTGTGTCCGTTTACTGGAAATCCGTCTTTAAACATGCTTTTCATTTGTTGCAATGCGTTAACCACCAATCATTTTTGTTCGTGCCGTTTGTCAATGGACGAATCCTATATGTAACGAACCTGCAATGCTGAAACCCAACTCTCGAACGTTTTCATGTAAGGGTCGAGAGTAATAAATGAATATCATACTTATATACCACAAAAAGTAGGATAATTTTTACTAATCAAGTTTTATGATTGGTTGAAGTCATAAAATTGAATTTGAAGTCATGTTATGGTGACGAATAGAAATCGAGAATGCACAGATGGTTATCGCCGTCGTGTCATCAATGTTCAGTTCAGGAACTGATCGCGATTTGAGTGTTGAAATTCGATATTGGTGCAGTTATAGTTACTTAAAATTTTTCTTATCTGTTTAAAATATGGCGTCCTTGGACAGGCACTAATAGTAATAACGAGTGTGATAACAACGCAGACTTTTTCCAGTGTAGTGAATCCAATAGCGATGGTGAACAATGCGAAACAGAGATACCAGTGGATAAGATTCGGATGCATTTGAATATTGAAACACAGAGATGATGTTTCAATGTATATAAGAATCTACATCTCAAGTTTGGTTTCGAGGGAAAGGAACTATTACAAGCAACATCACTCTTGACCGAAATTCCTTTCTCAACTGTACGTATAATAGTCAAAAACAAACCTTATGAACGTAAGACGCGATGTGATACAGGATTACCAAAACCTTTAGAAAATAATAAACAAACGTAGCAGTTATGGAAAGCAGAAGAATAGTGGAATTGCGTAACAAATACTTAGAACAAATAAGTAAATATAGACAAGAACAACAGACAATTTTCTATTTGAACAAATCTTGGTATGACACTTACGACACAGTTACGAAAGAGTTGACTAATGGTTTGAGAATATGTACGCCTAACATGCCTGCAAACAAAGGATCGCGACTAATCATTGTGCATTGCGAAGAATTCTTTGAAATTAGGTGGAAGCAAAACTTGAGGACTGCAATGTTGACTATCATAAGAACATGGAAGCTAATATTTTCGAGGAATTGTTTGAAAACTCATTGATCCCAAATTTATATGCGAATAGTGTAATAGTTCTTGACAACGCCTCTTGTCATTCGCGACAGCTCATCAAAGTACCGAATACAAATTCGAGGAAAGATGAAATACAAAGTTTTTTAATGGATAACAATTTGCACGACCATTTTTATTTTGAAAATTACATACCAAAACCAACCACTTGAAGTTGAACAATATTATTAAAGGGGAGCTGTTGAAAGGTAGGTTGCCTCGTTAATAATGTATACAAATAATATTCGCTTTCATATCATACAAATTGTGAAAAATTATAAATTGATAGATCTAATTTATTTGAAAGATTATTTTCTTTTTTTAGAACATGTTATTCATGCGTCATTGTTGTTCAGTTGATCCCTATATCGTTTGCTCAAGAACTACCAACCTTTGCCGATAGTGGTTGCAAATAATGGTTGAGAATTATCCATCTAGCAATTGTCAGCGTAATTATTCATGACGGAAAAACATTTTTTATAAATTTCAATACAGTATTACAGTCTTTTTGCTACCAGTTTTCGTTGAAGTTAGCTCAGCTCTCAGTTGTACTTCGTTCTTTTCTCCAATGATAACTTCCGCGACACACTTCTTCCTAATAATGTAGGTTAGGCCAAAAGTAAGTGGGTCTATTCGACCCTCCACCGCAACCCGCAAGGGTTTATTGTGGCTCATACCTATTCAAACTCGACCAAATAAACCCAGCTTCTCAACCTGATATTGATATTATGTTGATGAGTCCAAACATGCTCTGCTATTCCGGATTTGCTGGTTTCTCCTTGCTGTATGTGTTTCTTGTGCTCAGCAATGGCCTCTTAGTATCACCGATGTATGATTCTCCGCACTCGCAGGATATCCGGTAAATGCAATTATTGGAATCGCAGTCCGCGTTTGGTGGCCTTGTTTTCGTGAGGCTGCTACGGGTAGTGTTACCAGATCTGAAACAGGTCCTGATGTTATACTTGGACCCAATCCTCCGTATCCTTTCCGATAATCCTCTGATGTAGGGAAGTACAAGTACTGGTTGTGGAGGCTTCTCTTCCTTGTGGAGCTCTTGCTGTGTTCTAGCTAAAGCCTGTTCTACCATCACTCTGGAGTAACCATTCCGTTGAAGGTCGTTTTTGATGATGCCTAGTTCCCTATCGAGACCTTTCTTTGTATTGCAGAGCACGAAGGTACGGTCTAGTAGAATCTTTATGATTCCTGTCTTAGTCGATTGATATTTTTCAGGAATTTCAAATCATTTTATATTATGTTAGACAATGGAAGTCCGAAATGATGAAATAAACCACGAAACATTGTCAACTACCTTCAAACAAACTCACTTTCCAATTCAGATTATCAGTAAAAATAAAAATTGGGAGAAGCTGAATGCTGAGTTGAAAATTTTGATCTGTATCATTTTTTCATCGGAAACGAGTGGAAATGGAAGGGGAAAGAAAGCCTTACTACCCAAGTACTGAAGCGGGAACACTTACACTCGACGGGAGCCAATCGCAAACAGTTCGTTGTTGATTCAGAAGACAGTGACCTATGAGAAGGCCTGTTAGACATCGTAGTTCATCCCAACTGTAGCCCAACAACTGTTTGGTTTCAAACTTCGAAGGGTAAATAAACGACTTGGAGTGAGCCAATCCTGTAAAATTCTGACAGAAATATTGCCATCCAGGTATTCAATGTTTGTTTGGCAATACCAAAAGCAATGCGAATGACAGTTTCCGGTCCGATGAAGCTGCTTGCAGCACCCTCCTTTGCAAGGGAGTCAGCAGCCTCATTGCCTTCCTCATGGCCAGGAATCCAGACCAGAGACAATTTGTTAAGTCTTCCTATTGAGGAGAGAAAATAATTTAAGTNATCTTTCTATACTGATAGGAAGCCAAATAATTTCTCTAGATAATGAAAAAAACTTCATTTCCCTATCGTATATAATAGTCGAAATATATCAATTTTATTAGAGAAAACTGAAAATCTCAGTTTTTTCACATTAATATCAATATTTTTTCTCTCAACCAATGGAGAGTGTCGTAATTCTCCATTACACATGTAAAAATAATGGATTCAACATTATTTCAAGGTCTTATCAAGTTGTACTCTATGATTGGGTTACTCGATAAATAGAAGGCTTTTCGCAAGGAATCTGCTAAACTAATAATTGAAGGTTGAACGCATCATTTTTATGTCCACTGAATAATCCACAGGGAGCGCAAAAACTAGGATTCAATAAGTAAATGAGAAAAATTAAAAATCTCAACTTTTTCAAAAGGAAACCCCCATTTATTGAATATCAAATTAACTTCAAAGAATATTGATTATGATATTCTCCCAGGCAACTATTTCTTTTTGAAAAGAGAGGTTTTTGGCTTTCTACTTCTCCACCCTCAAACAAAAATGTCTTCACGTCTTGTCATCGGGACATGAGTAGATTCAACTCATTCGTGACATGAGGTCGTAATTTTACGAATGAATCAAATGCTCCATCTCATAATGTTATCCAGATTGTTGTTGAAAAAGCAGTAAGACAAGTGTCTCATGTCGATACATCAGATGTCCACCAATGGGGATGACACTGTTTCAAGTAAGTGAAAGTTTTCTCTGTCATTCACAATATTGTGTGTGGTAGCTGTTTCAATCCCTAACGGATGCTTGGAATACAAACTGGATAAAGAAATGAGATCCCTCCATACATAAGAACATTACTTCAAAGAAGGTTTGATCTGGGCTTTATAAAGCATCAAAAGTTGCTAAGTTGTGTACAGTTTTCTGATTCGGAACAGTGTTCCAAGCCTTTGAGAGGCAGCCTTTGCAATTCCAGCGACATGATTGTGCCAAGACATATTGGTGTCCATTTTAACCCCCAACAAACTTGAATTGAACCTGGTTACTTTCACTACAATTCGAAGTCACTTCTAGATCATCA